GGACACGTGCATGAGAGGGACAGAGAGAGAAGAAGTGAGATGGAGAGAGGGGGAGTCACCTACCTGGATGAGGATGCTGGATTTGGGTTGCTGAACTCTGCGCTCATGAGTGCCTGGAACTCCGAAACTGTTTAATATGATAATTCGTTGGAATTTCTAAGCTGTGCTAATCTGGACTTTGCATCTCTGCTCTCCAGTGTGGATTTCGTGTGATCTCTCATTGTGTATGTGCTTGTGGTGATGAACAGTGTGAGAAATGGTCCATGATTCTCCAAACTATTGTAAAAATTTAAAAGAAGGAATTCAGGTCGTTACATACCAAGTACCATTCATGAATTTTGCAGAATGGGTTCAGAACTTCAAAGAACTTCAGACTCAAGAAAGGCACGGGCTGTCAGTGTTAACTTCGCTTCTCCCAGAACCTGATCGCAGCTGCCAGGTGTTTTCCGCAGTTCACCAGCATGTCTACGAGTGCACGCAGAGGGCTGGCCAGCATGTCTATGAGTGCACGCAGTGGGCTGGCCAGCATGCCTATGAGTGCAAGCAGTGGGCTGTTGGGCCATGGCACGTAACTTTTTCTTCTGGACGCCTCTTCTTGAATTTTCTTTACCTTCATTTACAGAAGCAGGGTCCATTCGTCTTTTTGTCTCTTGTCCTCTCCTCCTTCACTCTCCTTTTTGTCTCTTGTCCTCTCCTCCTTCACTCTCCTTTTTGTCGTTTTCCTTCCTTTGCTCCTCCCATGCGCCCTATGTTGCTCCCTCTCTTGGTTCATTCCCTTTTTCTCTATTCCTTCCCATTCTCCTCGCCCCCCTCCTCCATCTCCCATTCCTTCTCATCATCCTCCTCCTCCTCCTGCTCCTCCTCCTCCTCCATCTCCCCACCCCTGATGCTGCTGCTGCTTGCATTCATTATCTTTTGCCATTCTTCCTTCCGTTATCCCTCTTGTGCTCCCTACCTTTCTCCCTCTCTTGACTCCTTCACTTTCATCTATACCTTCATTCTCCCCGTCTCTCTTCTTCGTTTCCCCTTCCTCCTCCTCCTCTTCCCCCCTCCTCCGATGATGACGACAATTCATTATCTTCATGTATGTGTACTGGTAGGGAAGCTTAAAGCAAACTGAATATGGAAAGATTACAGAAGACTGACCCACCTGCGAGAGAAAGGCAGGGCTAGCAGAAGCTGGGATGTGTTGTGCACAAGGCCAGGCAGATTAATTATCTGCAAAAGAATGAGCTGCAGTATAGTCAGCCATAATGCCTGGGTCAACTTCTCCCCAGGGTGGCGTGCAACGACATGTCCCACCTGTGCCAGACAACACACATTCCCTATGTTAGACAAAACACAGCAAGTGAGAGATATTGCAAAATTGCCAGCACAACCAGGCTCGCACCATTTTCCTTTCTTTTTTTTTCTCTTTTTTAACCACTAGTACCTTTGCCGAGTGGGAAAATAGTGGGGCCTCTTATGAGGCCGAAACGAAATGACAGCCGGCGGTGAGATTTATCAATGGCAGCCGTCATCGGGCCCGGCCTCCGATTTTTTAGGAGTTTGGGTAAAGTGCCAGTTTCCCTATTTTAGTATTTTGCCAACACTGGCGGAGGTAATTGTAGTTTAAACAAGGCCTTACGGTCCTGGCTCCATATCCATTCTGGGGAGCATCACTGCGGTTCCTTTTCCACCGGCAAGTCATAAATTACATTAAACAACACACGCACGTTTACTTCCATTTGGCCGAAAGACACCTGATCAGCATTGATTACTCCATGTGCATTGAGGATTGACCGTCAGTCTGCCTTGTATCCCCCTTTCCTCTCGGGTCCACCTTCTGAAGGCGTCAACTTTGCCTGTGAAGGGTCTCGTCCATCTGTTGGCTGACATGTGGATCCTCTCCTTCTGAACTATGATCAGCATTGAGTACTCCAGAAGAACAAGAACGGTACGGGACACAGAAGAGTAGCTTGCCAACTGAGCATTTCTCTAGATAACTATGTAGCCTGTGAAGGGTCTCGTCCATCTGTTGGCTGACATGTGGATCCTCTCCTTCCGGCCACCGACGAGTTGTGCCAATCCTTCCACCGTAAGCTGGGACTCCTTTATCTCTGCTACTTTGCCCCCCAACAGCCAGAGCTTGGCAAATTTGGAGAAAACTCTGTGCTGCCGATCCTCATCATCAGGTAAAGAGTACCTCGTTTTATGCCATTTGGCATTTGCATAAAATGTCCGCCTGGATCAAAGTTCTTGCCTCCACCCACACCTTTTACCTTGGGAGTTGATAGACCCTCGATCGTCCTGCTGCATCTCTCCATCCAGATAGACCATAGCGTTACTTTCCTGAGCATACCAAACCATGTCCTCTCTGTGTTACTGAATTGAGACGGGATGTTACTGCACAATAGAAGTTGGATAGGGTTTTCAGGGAGGGAGGTCGGGAATAGAGAGTCCCATAGGTCCCATGTCCTGGCCCAGTACACTTGTTGCTTCTTTTACAGCGTATGACGCCCACAGCCAGGTTCAGCTCAACGGCTTCCTCTCTCCACCTTACAAGATGTCCCGCTCGGTCCGCCAAGGCGACCCCCTGGCGGCCCCACTTCTCTTCACAATGGAAGCGGTCGCTTCCTTCCTGTGCAAGGACCCTTCGATTGACAGACTAGTGGCCGAGCCAGTCCGAGGTCAGGCTGCCTACCACTTTGCTTTTCGCTGATGACATCACAGCCATAATCAGGGCATCAAACGCATCACTCCAGGCCCTCACACAAGCTATGCAAGCCTTTCAGTTGGCCTCAGAAATGAAAGTCAACTGGCAAAAAACTTGGAAAAACAGCAGGGTGGTGGCTGGCGGACACCCCACAGCTGCCATCTCCCCGGAAGGCTTTGCATGGCAAGATTCCAGGGCACCACTGCTGTTTTTGAAGATCAAGCTCACAGAGGCAGGAGAGGACCATGCAATGGCACCGGAGATGCTTACCAAGATGCTGCGAAAGATGGACACCTGGTCTAGCATTTACACCTTGGTGTTTGGGCGGACACTCATGCAACCTCCATTTTCTCCATGCTCTCGTACGCAGCTACCATACAGACTCCGAAGACAAACATGGCTACAACGCTCAAAAGGCGGTCCACCTTTGGACTGGCAACCCGTCGAGGACCAACTTCATCCCCGAGGTAGCATGAGCACACCTCATACAACCAAAGGGAAGAGGAGGGTTGAGGATCCTGGACCCGGTCACGCGAACGAAAGCCCTCCAGACCAAGTGCATAGTGAAGTTGCTCACCCACCAAGGCTTACCATGGACCTCCCTCGCACTGCATCGCATCAGACAGCTACCCAGGGCCTCCACTCCAACTAACATGCAGGGACCGTTCTGGTTTATGTCCAAGTCGTGGTGACGCGGCACGCAGCAGGAGCAACAACACCAGCTGCCACAAGGAACCGCATGGACTACTGGATGTACCTCATCAAAATCTGGAAAGAGAGATTCCCGGCAAAAGTCCGTCGAACAGAGAAGAGGTACTACATCAGCCGCTCTTCTGTGATCAATGGCTCAAGGACTGGGACCACAAACCATGGATGGTCACAACGCAAGACGCTTGCTGGATCACGTGGCTGGAACGAGGAGCGTGGAAGATCAGCCACATATGGAACCAGCAGCATAACCGGTGGAAAACATGCGGGGAACTCAGAGACACCCTCAGGGGCTGCCTTAACCTGCTCTCTTGCAATCGATCCCCTCCGAGTGGTTAGCAATGCTGCAGGCCCTGCCGACATGGATGTTAGGAGAATGGGCCACCTGGAACTGGGAAGATGCCCCTACCATTTCGCTTTCATACGTCAAGACAACGGGACCGGCAGGGGATGGGCATAACGGACCATCCACGACATCCAGCCGCCAGAACAGACGGTAAGCACCATGACCATGACAGTGACAGCTGGAGTCACAGCTAAACCATCCCTTCTCAGGAAAGCACGGGTAGTTGAGGATGGCAAGTACAGAATCTTCTGCCCTGCGACACAGCTCCAGGAACTGGAAGTCGATCCGGCAGAATGGGTCTGGAAAACAACTTCCACACTAACAGGGACAGAGCGTCGAGCTAATATCCTTGACTACTCTACACGGATGGGATACAGGCTCAGGCAGAGAACAGTCAACACCAATGGCACGCTGTCTAAGAGATGGGAGAAGAATGTGCTGGGAGGACTCGGTGGCCAGACACGAATCTCATGGCGTGCAATGGCTCATCTACTGCCATGCATCGCCACTCAACAAGTGGCAAAACAGGCAACGATCAGCTGCAGCCAGACGACAATTCGATGACTTGGAACAATCTGCGACCAGCGAGCCCTGGAGGACCTTCCGCAATACTTGCTCTACTGCCCAAAAGCATTGCAGCTATGGGACAGAGCGGAAATCCTGTGGGCTTCCACAACAGACAAGGCCCTGACAGGAAACCCGGTCACACGACTCGCGGGACTGAAGGAGCCCGCCCTCCCAGATAAATGGCAGAGGACCTTCTTCCAAAGACTCCACCCACTCACACTCTGGATGTTATGGAAGTCCAGATGGAAGGAGACCATCGACGCCCAGTCCACTCCAACAGCTGATGCATGGGCGGGCCTCATCCAACTTCTGCAGACTGGCACAGAACGGCAAAGCTACTAATAAAGCAGCCCACCAAAAAGCAAGAAACCATTGACAAATTCAACAGGGAGCGACTCGGGAACGGGGAATAGGGAAGCATAGAGGGTAGCACACCCAGACTGGTGTGGACGATCAGAGGGACTCAACCAGGAAGGGAACTTCAGGAGCAGGGAACCTGCTGACGGCAACCCGCCCACAGCAAACAAGAGTAGACCTGGACAGGGCGTGAAACCCACCAACCAGGGTTTAGGGTTTAAGAGCACAACACCGCAGTGCGTCATAGTGCAGGAAAGTACAAAGAGGTAGATGGGTTTTGAGGTGGCCATACCGCTCCAGGCTAGCAAGATTACTAGGCAGCTGCAGTAGCTGTGAGGAGCACAGAAGGCTAGGAATAGGGACCACAGGAGGGCAGAAATAGGGTACTTAGGAGCTAGGGGGGGCAGGAACGGTTTTCTGTGGCGAGCGATGGCTCGTAAGCTAAACTGGGTAATGCTCCCAGGATAACTCCGGGTCGAATTGTGAGGTCCCCGGCCTCAAACCTTTTTTGTATATACTATCCTGTTTTTCATTTTTTTTAAAAGAGGTAGTAGTGCGGCCAAGGGAGACCGGAGGCCGAGTTGCAAAAGTATATCATTCGGTCACATTGAGTGAGAGCACACATGACTGACTGAGCACACATGACCAGGCAGTCATGCTGCTGCTCGCCCAGAGGGTGAAGTTAGGCGGACCTCCTCTTGAGCGGTGGAGCTGGAGGGTGAGGAAGAAGACCTCCACGTCAACGTAGTAGCAGTAGCAGGGCGTAGGCCTAGGTTCTAGAGGTCCACAGTGAAGCGCCTTATACCAGGGCATGGCGAAGGGTAGAGGAAGCTGTAAAGGTTGAGAGGGGGAGAGAGAGGGAAACCGACATGAGGGACTCACATTTGGCTATGGTGGACCTTCATCTCCCCTTTCTTGGTTGGCCCCAGGGTTGCATACCCGCCGACTGCTTACCCTGACCACCGACCGTTTTGCAGCCGACCAGTAGGGCCGACCGGTCGGCAGTCCGCCAACCAGTCAGTACACAGCCATCCACTGATTTTTTTTTTTTAATCTGACTACAGGGATGTACTGCGCTTGCTGAGTACAGCCCAAATCCGC